GCATGCTGGGTAGATGCAAAGTACAATGTGTATTATTATGACTCAATTCCTCCACGTCCCTTTTATCCGTCAGCAAAGCATCTACTTTGGGATGAAAATAGGGGCACACAGCTGCCTGGGAAGATGTGCCCCTTAATCCTCTATAAGTCTGCAAAATGTATGGCTAGTAAAAGGTATTCTCTTATATTGTCCAGTTGGACTAGTGTTGTAATGGAACTATTTTGTCAGGGAGACAAAGTGCCTGGACTTAAAAATTGCATTAGCAGGGATAATAGCACCATCTACCATTCTGCTCAGCCTTCCCTATTTCTTAAACTTGGCTGCATTCCTCACAGTAGCTGGAAGCAAAATAGACAGTACTTATATCTACACTAAATACTTTCAAGAGCTATTCTTGCTGCAGTTCATAGGGTGGGGCATAGTTTTATATTGAATGGGAATAAAAGTTACTAGGAATTAAATAAAAAGAAAATCATTTAAAAACCCAATTTTTGCAATGTCTCAAATGTTTTCTTATCCTAAGGAAAGTACCCCATTTTTTTCCTTAAGAGTTTTCTACCTTTTTCTCATGGTGTCTCAGCATTTCTTTCAAAATTCTCTAAGTGTTGTTTGTCAACGGTGCTAACATTGGATGTTCTTGCTTTGACAACAGATGGAAATGCAGCCCTTTTTCACTATTGCTTTTAGAGTTAGTTGATGCTGGGAGGGGGAATGTAGATGAGAACTCAGCTAGTCATAACAATAATAACTCAGCCATGGGAACCCAAGATCATTGGGCCCAGAGCTGATAGAGTTTTGGCAGCTGGAGAGCTGGGGAGAAAGCCAGCTCTTCAAACTAATTGGGGAATGTGATTTATGATTGTTTATTGGAGGAGGGAATTGTGCTTTGTTACTCTGTATCCAGGGGAGGGGAATTTAGTTTTTGGTTTCGACTATGCAGTGCTGAGACTTTGTTTCTCGAATAAAAGATTCTTTATGGTAAACAATACCTCAAAGTTCTTTTGAAGAATTTCATCTGTCAGAACCATGACATTAAACCAAAAACTACAATTTTTACCTTACTATCTTGGGGTTCTGAGCCCCAGTCACTGTCCCTAGAATTGAGGGATAGACCGACAAAGATTTGGGGAAGATCTCAACATGGGGAAAGAAGAAGTGCCTGAAACCAGCACCCTGGCAGTGGCTGCTACCTCAAAGGAGGGAGCGCAGGCCAGCACGCCAGTGGAGAAGGAACATTTTCAGGTCTCTCAGATGGGGGCAAGACCCAAGCCACGAGGACAGCTGATCTAGTCATTGAATAGACCTTGCCCAATGGAGACTCTAGACACCTTGAGATGGCCTTGCCACAATCAAGTGCTTCGAAGGCAGACGAGGTCGAGCTGCAAAGAGGGGCTTCCCGCAAGTTGCGTTCCCCGGACCGGTGGAGAACCACAAAATTGACTACTGCTGAGGACTCTAGTGAGTGGAAGTACCTGTCAGCAGTCTGTAGTCAATCAGTGGAGAAGTTGGTGGAAAGATTTGAGGAGCTAGAGATGAAAAATGGAGAACAACCCTCCCATTCTCCATAAGACAGCGATCATGATGATCGGCAAGGCAGCCACCAACTCATGCTACGGGGAAGCCCCAGTCCCACCTACGCAGGTCAAGCAGCTTCCCCATCCTCGAAGCCACCTACCATGGCCTCCAGCCCTGCTCCAGTTGTTGCCCTTCCAAAAGCTCAGATCACTGCTGGCGAGATAAGAGCCTGAGCCATCACCGAGACAGCCGAAGCCTGGATTGACGTGCTTACCGACCACCCAGTCTGGGGCCCATACAGCAATGAGGGATGTTGCAGCCCCCACAGATGGGAGGCCAGCAGTCGCTGGCGGTGCAGCAACCGAACTGGCGGTGGACGCAGCCCCTGAATGTGCAGGAGCAGATGGGGGCCTTGCAGCAACTAGGGTTGATGCAGCCGCCAGGCGGTCAGCAACCACTGGGAGTACAGCAGCAGCAGTGGGGCTGGCCATCTCTGAACACGCAGCAACCGCTGAGGGGCCTGCAACCGATGGGGATCCAGCAATAACCATCTCTAGGGCCACAGGGAGGCCTACAACTGGGGATGCCAGAACCACCCGCAGGTCAGCAGCAGTGGGAGTGCCAATAGCCCCTACATGCAGCAACCACTGGGAAGCCTGCAGCAACTGGGGATGCCATTTCAGCAGCCGCTGAGACCGTTGGGGGTCATACAGCAATTGGGGATGCCACAGCCACCAGCAATGCAACAACAGCCTTGGGGGCGGAAACAGCCCCCAACGTGCAACAACCACTTGGAGGCCTGCAGCAACTGGGGATGCAGCAGCCACCATGGACACCAGCAACCATTGGGGGTGCAACATCCACAGTGGGGAGGCCAGCAACCACCAGGAATGCAGGCTCCCTGGGGAGCGCAGCAACCATTGATGGCGCCACCTCTTAGAGCAGTGGTGGCGAACCTATGGCACGTGTGCCAGAGACAGCACTCAGAGCCCTGTGGGCACACGTGCCATGCCCTGGAGATGGCAACCATCCCTCTTCAACCAGCCGCCTGCTAACCTGCCGAGGTCCCACGTGGCCAGATGCATCCCAGCACCCATGTGCTCGCTGGCCTCTGTGTGCGGGGGCTGATAGTGTCAAGCAGCAGCTGCCCCAGCCCGTCTCACCTTGCCCTGTGACAATGGCACCGCTGCCTTGCCTCACCTTGCCTCGCCTCATCCCGCAGGACGAGCCTCCTGCCCACCCCCCCGACTGTTTATTGGAGGAGGGAATTGTGCTTTGTTACTTTGTATCCAGGAGAGGGGAATTTAGTTTTTGGTTTCAGCTATGTAGCACTGAGACTTTGTTTCCCGAATAAAAGATTCTTTAAGGTAAACAATGCCTCAAAGTTCTTTTGAAGAGTTTCATCTGTCGGAACCATGACAGTGTTTTTGAGTTTATCTTGTTGCTGGAGGAGATTAATGAAGTTAGAACTGACATTGTTTTGTTAAAGATCTGTCCATCACTCTTCCCAGCTTGAAAAAAAAATTGTGGGAGGAATTCCCTTGAATATTTTCCTTTAAATGTAACTAAAGCATGGAACCCAGGAAGGAGACAAACTGTTACAAAGAAGTCTGTGTAATAAAAACCAGGACATTTATACATACAGTTACCCACTATGAACTTAACACATATGAAGGACCATGTTGCCCCAAGAGGATTTCACACATATTTACTTCACTGAAATAACATAAACTAACTTCATTGCAGTCATTAAATAGCACAAGGTCACTGAAATAAATTTTGAAACCAAAATTGCTATCATTAATTTACTACCATGAAGCTGGTATAAAAGTGCAGAAAAGAATATTTTTAACAACTCTAATTAAAAAGAATTAAACATACACAAAATAGTTAGTAGAGTTGCTGGGTGTCAGGTGGCATATACATTTAATAAAGTATAAATTGCTATTATTAAAATACAGGGAACTGACATTGGTCAGTCTAAGATTACTGCATGGAAAGATTCTGCAGCAGATTATAAAGAGGTGGATTTAAAAATATTTTGAAAAAAATCCCTTTTAATCAGAATTCATCATGGATTTATCAGGAACAAGACTTGCCATTTTTTAGCAGTAACTTGTATGATATGTATTGTGAGCATTTTGTGGTAAAGATGGATGGCTAATACCTTGGAAGATATACTGTAAAAATTCACATTTAGGAAACAAAGATCACATACATAGATATTGTGGGAGAATCTTGTGACAAATATTTCTGAATTGTAGATTGCATACTGATGAGTAGTTTGAAGGGGGTGAAAATAAAGCAAATGCATCCACAGAAGTATACATTTTCAGACCCAAGGAAATTATTCACATTTTTGTTCTAAATTGGTAGATCCCATCATACCTTTTATGTTCAATTTTGGGCATCACACTTTAAGAAAAATTCAGAGAAACATCTAAAGATTGAGATGATAAAGAGGACCTTACAAGCCTATGAAGACTTTAATGATGAATTTCATCTGGAAGGATACTTGGCAGTTAAAAATTCAATTGCATTATGTTTGCTTGAAGCACAGGAATGTGTACTAACTCCAGCATACCACTTCATAAACAATAGCAACACATTTTTCTCATATTAATTTCCTGCCAAGTGAAAGAACAGATACTACAGAACATGTGAGAGCTTAATGCACATCTGTACTGCCACTTATGGACTCATAACATTGGAGGCATTACTTTTCACCCATCTCATATTTATGGGAGGGTTTTTTGGTAGCCAAAAAAACCAATCTAATGTGGTGAACTGTGATCCAAAACACCCTTTATGTTATAATAAATGGGTTATCTATGAAGTAATTTTTTAAAAATCTGCTGTTCACTTCAAGCCCAGCATGCTTTGAAAGCACCTTTACATAAAGAAATGACCTTTATACAGTATAAAAGATATTGCCATCATAAAATATTGAGTATAAGGATTTGTATAAAAGCAAGTAGAATTTGTCAGTGAGATAACCAAACTGACATTAAAAATTTGTCATCTATTAAGATCAACTTGTAAGCTGAATTTGCTACTAGTTTGCAGGATACAAATAATGGAAAGCCACTGCATATGTTTTGATAGTTTGGAGGATTTTGCAGGATTTCTGTGATATACAGCTGTTTTCTAATTGTTAATTCATTTTGAATAAAGCTTAGCTGACTATTATTATTTCACTAGCAAGAAACTGAGAAGTACTATAGCGAAGCTCTCGTGTTACAGAATTTGATGACTGAGAAACATGAAATACTGACCGGACAAAAAATTCTGGTAGCAGAACAATGCACACACAGCTCTTTCATTAAGTAATTTATCTACATTTCTTAGAATTTCCTTCTATTTGAGGGCACTGCTTAATTTTACTATACATTCCTTATGTCATTATTTTATATTTCTGACTTTTTTTTAAAAAAAAGTCTATGCTAGTAAATTGTCAACTAGAAAACTGCACCCCACACAGAAACTATGCACATACCAAGCCACTGTTTATTATTTCATAGACATTCCAATTTATGTTTAAACATATACAGTTATCTCAAGACTGGGTAGCAATCCACATGCACAGTAAGATTTTCCTTCCCCACTATGGTCTCTTCTGCACATCCCTCCCCCCAGAACAGAATCTGTGGAATAACATGGGATGAAGCCAACCGGCGGCAACGAGGCAGAGAAACTGGACAATGTTCAGAGTGTTGCCTATGGGTAATGTCAAGTTGTTTTTGGATGAAACTAAGACATCAGTCAAGATGACACAGTGATATGTCAATATTCGACTGGCACATCTTTCACAATCCACCTCAGTGAGATGCTTTGCCATCAGAGAAACTGCCAGCTCTCCCTTTGCATTTCAGCATCCATCAGTATGTGCATAAAAAGTGCTTTGTACTGTACTAGAATCCAAATGCATATTTTGGTTAGCCTGTGTGGCTCCTTCCATTCAATATTTTAATAAAAAAACTGAAATCTTTGTCCTGTAGAAACTACTAGGATTTCCTGAGCTTGTGACACATCTTTTTTTTTTAAGTAACAATTCTGATCGTTTTGGAGTTCATAACCTATGCTAAGACATGTTATGAAGAAAGGGAAAAAATAATAAAGAATTCAGTAAGTTTGCTCATGTAAACATTTCTTCAACATCCATGAAGTTAACATATTTGAAAAAAAAATGATTAAAAAAAATAAAAACAAAAACACTTTTAGGTGATCCAGAGATAAACTGAGGAAGAATATATAGCCACAGATATAAAAATGATGAGTTCAAGTTTCACATAAGAGATTTAGTTATCTTATCCTAACAAAGCTGTTAATGAAAATCATAGGAAATTCAGCAAAACAAGTATTTAATTGTAATGCCCAAATTTCTGCAACAAAAATGGAAAATTCATGTTTGGAATTACACCAGAAACTTTCAAGCTGAAAAGAATTTCTGAATTTATATTGAGATTTAAAGTAGTTTTTGTGTAAGTAATTTTTGTGTAAGTTACAAGTATGATTGTCACATGACAATCTATTATGTATAACATGATGATGGGGGGGGGAGGGAATACACCTCCAGCTACTAGCCTGCTGAGGCATCTAAAGAAAAGATGCTTCAAGACATGAATTTGCTATCAGACTTATTTCCCTCAAATATAAGGATTTCTTTGCAGTCATCATGTTATGGACTCAGTTCCTACAACTTCCAATTCTAAGAAAATCCTGTTGTTTATTTGCAGCCAAGAGACATTTCTTTCACCTTATCTTTTGTTTCTATGCCTGTTTTGTTTCTCCAAGCAGGAACATAAGAATCCGTCTTATACCATGTCAGATCATTTCTCTAGCTAACGTATACCATGATAAAGCTTTTTTTCCAAGATTCTTTTGCAGGCGTACCTTAAGTTTCTGGGACTTTCAAAATGTCAAACATGGTTCCTTGTTGCAAAAGATTTTATTCGGTTTAGATAAATCCTGCATTTTGCCAAGGAGCTGAAGCATTCCCTCCTCTCTTTTCAATCTTAATCTTCATAGAAGTCACTTAAGCAGTTGGTAGCTGATATTATGTGGTCTAGGTCTACATTTTCTATATTAAAACATAATTACCATGATTGCAAATAAAACTGCAATGGTTTGCCATTCCTTATAATGCATTATCACAGGAAGGCAATTTAATCAGTGAGGAGCTTAAAAAGATACCTAGTATATATTATGAGATGTTGCATATCTATTATTCAACCATAAAAGAGGTAAAAAAATCCATCACCTTAGAAACGATCCCATATGTTTTACATTGATTTCTTAATAAACGGATGACAGTTCAGAAACAGTTACATTTTTCCTATATTAGAAGCATCACAATATGGTGCTGCCAAAAGACCCCCCAAACAAACAGGGCAAAGCTTTTCAAGAGGGATTATCTTTGGGGGATGATTGCTCCTGCTTCTCCCCATGATACGGAAAATCACTGTACCTGTAGAGTGATTTATTGAAGTTTTTTTTAAAAAAAATAATCAAATGATTGCATGCACATACAGAAACACAAGTGGTATTTGCTAATTAATTCCCAATTCATTTGGAACATTAATACTTACAAGGAAGCAGGAGGACAAAATGGGAATGTGCCACATACATTTACATAGAAAAAATGATTTGATGTATGAAGTAAAAAAATAGTCATCCAAATTTGCAATGCTCAAATACTCAGACCCATGGTTTTCTCTAGTAAAATTAGTCTGGTGACCAATATACCTGAGGCTCTTTTTAATACTTATCTATCAGCATTTTAACTGTTCTTTGAGAACAGAAAGAACTGAGCATAGTTGGTTGCAAGTATTTTGCAGCCAAGCCCTAACTTGCTTACTTTCAAATAAGTAGTTTAATTTAGTGGGATTTGTTTCTGGGCTAATAAGCTATTCTTCTAACCAGCAATAGTAGAATATAGCTTCCATTGTTGGAAAAGTCCTTGTGTGTCAATTATGTGCAACTCCTTAACCAAGCATTCTTGGTTAAAAGCCATGGCTTTTCCTATTCATTGTGTAACTTCTTCAATTTTAGTTAACATTATGATTTCAACATTGTTTCCAAATTCAAAAGCACCCTGTGGTCACTTTGACTGAAAACACATGCAATGCACATGTAAAATCTGCAAAATAGATGCCAGTTTCCCTTATAGTGGTGCTTTAAATAATTATTCACCATTTAATATACGTTCAATCTCTTCCAGTCTTTTCAGTGCAGCAACTCTTTTTTTCTCTATCTCTTTTATCTCTTTTGTCGATTTCTTTTTTGTCTCTTTGTCTGTAGTGTTTTTATTTCCATGTTTTTTGGACTTCCTTTGCTCCTTGCTAACATTAGTGTTTGTGGTCTGAGGGTTTTTCTGCTCTTTTTTTACCTCTTTCAAGTGTTCAGATGGAGTTTTTTTTCCTTCCACAGATGCTACTTTTTCTGTATGAGTCACACTTGTGTCCCCTAGTCTGAGGGAAGCAATTTTACTTCGGACAATGCTTAAATGGCGTTGGATGTATTCCTCATGTGGGGCTAAGGCCAATGTTTCCACTAAGCACTTTTCTGCCTTTAATAAGTCTCGTTCTTCGAAGTAAACCACACAGAGGTTGTGTTTTCCTTGCACATTGTTTGGATCCATTTTCAGAATTTTCTCAAAACATTGTTTTGCTCCCTGTATATCTTTCTTTTGGTTCATCAAAATGTCTCCCTTCAAAATTAAACCTTTGGTATGATCTGGGTAATACCTCAACAACTCCTCCAACACTGGTAAAGCTTTCAGCTCTTTTGCAGTCTGAGAATAAAGCAATGCCAAGTTGAACAAAGCACTGCGGAAGCCTGGCAGTAGCTTTATGGCTTTTTTCATCCACATCTCGGCTTCATCATCTTTTTTATCATCCATTGCAAGCATGCCTAAATTAAAATAACCATTTGCATCTTGAGATTCTTCTTTTATATAACTTAGAAGTCTCTTCTTAGCTTCAGGCCTAAGGCTGGCCTCACCTAATGCAACAAAAGAACATTAATATGGACTATCCAGTGCTGTACAAATAGGACAGTATTAATAGTCTTTGTTACTTATGCTTGTAGATTTAGATTCATGATACTATACATTTTACAATTTGATATAGGATCCTTCTTAGAGTCTGAAAGATCCAGGGGAAGCATATTATATACCCACTTTTTTCTCCCAACATCATTACAGTAAATTTTTGGTCCAACTGAGGTAAATGGATTTGGAAACCAAAATAACTATATAATGTTTGGGATTTCAGTTAATTAATTCTATTGCTTTGAATGGAAAATAACAACTGATCCTTTCAAATACTGAAAAATAATTGGATGCGGCCCGGGAAAATTACTCCACTGCTTCCATCCAAAAGCCTTTAAAATTATTGCAATTTGCTGCTTCAAATCTTGTTTGTATCCCCACACTGGAATATAACTTATTAAAATAATTTATTAGAGATACATCTCACCTTTCCTCAGAACTCAAAGTGGAATATATACCACTTCCTCCTCCCTACTTTTCACTGTAACAGCAACACTAAGGGGTAAGTTGAGCTGGGAGACAATGATTTTCCATGACAAAATGTGCCCTTGAAGCAGACTCTCCTAGGTGCCTATACAGTATCTTAATCACTACATCAAAAATCACAATCATTGCAGAACAGCACTGAAGACACAATTCACAATGCAATGACACTCTCTTGTGTTTAATTGTAAGGGGTCCATTTCTTATAAGCTAGAATCTGACTTAAGAGAGAAGATTATTAATATGAAGGAACTCAGTTCTTCAAATGTATTCTTCAAAGCCAACATTTTAGACAATCCATTCTGAATGGGAACTATTTAACTTGCTTAGAATTTGTACTTCTGAGATAGGATTGTGTTCTACAAATTTGTTACTTATCCATTTTTGAAAAAGCAACCTTGACTATTCATTAAAAATATAATTTTGTATGGCATAGATTTATAATATCAATTTGTGATTTTATAATGCTAGAGAGTCATTGATTATTACTAATTTTGGTTTGACCTTTTGTTAATATGTGACATATATCAATCATGTTGTTTTAGTTTTGGAGTTTTTCATGTATTTTTTCCTGGTCTTTCTTTTTTGTATTTTTCCTGATAAAACATGATAATAAATAATAATAAAATATCATACAACTTTTAAAATTTTGCTTTAAAGTTCTAGCTATACATACCAGATTCTTGCATTAATAGTGCAGAATTGAACAAGGCTAGTTTGTGACTAGGATTCAGTTCTAATGCCTGATTGAAGTTCTTCAGAGCTTCAGATGGATCTTTCAGTTCAATATAAACAATTGCCAAGTTATACCATAAGTCTGCATTGCTTCGATCCAATTCAAGAGCCCTGAGGTAGGCTTCTTTAGCTTGCAAAGGTTTGTTCATCTTTAGAAGCAATTCACCTCTGTTGAAAATCAAAACTTTAAATTATATGGTTTCCATTCCCTCCATTTTCTTGCTATTAAAATAGCACTTGCTTTAGACAGTAGAGCTGCCTACTCACATTTGACATTTCATTATGAATATAAGATTATAAAGTACCTGCTAATGTATGCCTGTTTGAAATCTGGCCTCATGCTAATGGCTTGACGATACAATTGGTCTGCTTCTTCAAGACGAGACTCATTTGCCCGAATCAGGTTTGCAAGGTTTATGTAAACATTCAGATGGTTAGGAGCAACTCGCGCAGCATATTTTTTACCTGGAATAATCTGACAGCAGAAGAAATTGTATTAGGCTTGGAAGAGCATTAACCATACATTTATCAAAACTATAACACAACGAAAGCTATAACAGTTTCAAAGACTGTAGTTATGAAATGAAATGCCTAAAGTATAATTAGTTTAAAACTAAGTACAACTTTCATTTGAACTGAGAATACATCTTTCTAATACAAAAGCAAGCTGAGATATAACTGCAGACAATTAATAACCTACAGTATATATATATATATATATATATATATATATATATATATATATATATATATATATATATATATATATATATATATATATATATATAAAAAAATAAATGTTATAATATTATGAAAATACAGACAAGCAAGAAAAAGGCTGAACTAGACTGATTGCTAAAATTTCCAGCAAACTAAAAAAGAAAACTCCTTGTGACCTGAATATCTTTTGCTTAAAAAGACATTCCAAATCTAATGAAACTTCCCAAATAAGCAGTTATTTCACTTACCTGTGGCATCAATGATTTTGCAACTAAATAGGATTCTTCTGCTTCTCTGGTTCTGTTTAAATTTTTGTAAGTTCTTCCTACATTCATATGAGCACCAATATCATCTGCAAATTGCAAGATAAGCAATACCTTCAGTTCTTTCTTATCATCTAAAATTCCAGTCTCAGTCACAACAATTTAAACTGGAATCAAATAAATATTAAATCCTCCCCACTCCCACTTCCATTTTTTCCTATTTAAAATATGACTGATATGACATACATTCAAGAAATTTCAAGACATTTATTTGATAATACAAAACCACAAGAATTTTGCAATGTTCCAAGTACAAAACACACACACACATATTGTATCCATTACAGAAAAAAAATATGGTTGCTTTATTGTTGCTTGGGCCTCTTGGCTGTTTAATTCAGAGGCAGGCAAAGGATGCTTTTAAGTTATCTCTGGATTCTGTCAACCTAGGTCAGTATGACAATGATGAGGGATTACAATCTGGCATCAATTGGAGTGATGTACATTACCGCCCAAGCTACTTTGATAAATACAATGTTCCTATAATCTCATGTAGAGATCTTTCTTGTAAAGCATTACCCATTTCTTTTTAAATTGGATTGTTAAGGACTGAACGTGAAACTTTCTGCACGTAAAACATGTGCTCTGCCCCTGAACTACAGTGCTTTCCCTTAGGAAAATCAGCCATGAAAGATTAATATGCAACTTAATAATACCTAGATGGAGCAGTTTTTAAAAAAACATTACATTTAAGGACTCAGGATGCAACCAAACTTTTCATACTTATATAAATTCATAAAATTATATACGTTTCTAAGATTTCACACTAACATTTATTTCACAATTTCATAAATTACACAATTTATGGTATTACTCCAACGTATCACCCTAAGTAGTTAACAGAAAAACACAAAATAACATTTCCTAGTAAAACTCAATAATCTGAGACCACAATAACCTAGCTAAGAAGAGCCATCCTATTAGCTCAGAACAAATTCCTGCTTAAAAAGAGGGGTCTTCAGGACTTTCTGGAGTGCCAAAGAGAGGGAACAGACATATCTCTGCAGGCAACAAATTCTACAATGTTGGCGCAACCAAGGAGATTGCTTGTCCTTCTGGACTATGATCCTTCTATCTCTTGCAATGACAAGAAAAAAACAACCCTTCTCAATGGTCTTACAGATAGGGCAGAATATATAGTTAAAGTGATCCCCAATGCCACCCAGTGTAGCAAACATAAAATAGTTATTACCCTGTAATGACCAACATAACTGCCTATATCAGTGGTGATTGCTGAGTTGTCTTCAGAGGCAGCACCTTCGAGGGAGCACTGCAACATGAGTCATTAAAGCTTTCTGGTCCATGTTGCAGTAGCTGCATGCCAACTAATGCTAGGCAAAGTCTTTCGTGGTTATAGGGAAAATATTATGCAAAGAGAGTTCTTATATTATTGCCTTTCATGCTAGCTATTTCTTACAACTCACCTGGCTGCACTTGGGTGGCCTGTATGAAGAATCTCAATGCTCTTTCAAAGTTCTTTTCATTTTCTAAAGCATGACCCACATTATTCCAAAGTTTAGCATTGTTCTTATTTACCTGAACACAGAAAACATGTCAGAAACAAACAAGTCCTATGCAAACTGAATAATTCATTTATGAAAGCATAATCTATTGATGTGGAATGTTTTAAGGATGAGTGTATAAGCCTATGCATGTACTAAGAGAATGTATAAAAGCTTTATGGGCAGTCCATTAATGTTAGAGACATTTGGAACTGAACTCATTAATTTAGAATCTAAAATGATAGCTTCAGATATTTAGAATCTTATGATAGATAGTAAATTGCTTAATTCCCCAGCTACGTGCTTTCCAGGTGCACAGATGTCAACTTCCAGAATTCTGTACCTGTCATGGCCACAATGAGAATTCTGGCAGTTACAGTTTGCATCTCTTAAGACATCTGATTTGGAGAAGGCTGCTATAAAAGATTGAGATGGTATGACAGCGGATACAGTCAGAAAAATTGTGGGTGGAATCAGGACAAAAGGAAAATTTGATTTTCAGTAAGTTAATATTACTGTCTAGAAGCACATTTAATAATTTCTAACTTCCAACACACCAAAAATGACTGGGCAACAGAAATTTCTCAGTATTACATATACAGTTTTAGCTGGAAACACCTTAGGACCTCTGTTTCAGTAGTGGAATGACCCGGATTTCTCATCTACAGGCAATCTGCTGTGGTTTAGAAAATAATCTGAAGTCCTTAAGCACAATGTCATATAATCATGACTTGTGGCTTTTTCCTGGCTTCTCAGTTGTTTTGCTTGTCAGAAGCCAGCTGAGAAGATCACAAATGTAAATCACATGATTAAGGGATGCTGCAGCTGTCATATATGCATGCTGGTTGCAAGGTGTTCAAATAGTGACCACATGACCACAGAGACACTGTGACAGCCACAAGTTCAGGGACCAGTTTTAAATCTACTTTTTCAGCACTGCTGTAAGTTCAATGCTTGCTTAGCCAAGGACAGCCTACATTTATCAATTCCCAGTATCCCTCCTAGAGAGGAAGGGAGAGCTCTTAAAACTAAGGTATCAGAGGCTGTCAAACCTGAAGTATTTTTTCCCTGACACAAGTCCTTCAAGAATGCATTACTGTCAGAAATAAGAGTTCAGAATAATAATACTGTACCTTTAAAGCAGACATAAACAACGTATATTCCGATTCCCAATCCCAGTTCCTCTGCAATGTTTTTAAGGCATGAATGAACAAAACCAAAGACAAACAAATCCATGATAGCTTTCTCAGGGTACTAGCAAATAAAAATGAAAAAAGGTGTGGTTAATGTAATTCCTGAATTCCCAGGCTAACAAAGACAGCATATTTCCCAATAAGGGCATTTAACTCATAGAAGCTCAGTTTACAATTCTGGATCCAATTTAACATTAACCATATTTTCACAATTAGCTGCTTCAGGAAGCAGAACAGATGCCGATAGGAGAAAAAGCGCTAAAGCAGTTTTGCTAAATGCAATGTCATTTTGCATTTAGCACTTTATTATAAATAAACAGTAATAAGATATAAAGAGATAATGAAACCTGTTTAGATGGAAGTTGCTTGTTATCAGTATAGCCTACTGACTATATTTGTCATTCAATCCATTGAACTGTTCTTAGCTTGTTTGAATCATTAGAAGTTGAATTCCACTAGTAACTAAATATCACTACTTTGCAAAATAGGGCTTATTATTTGGAATAACTGGAATCTAGACTTTATTACCAAAATGAAGAAATACAGCTGCCTATACATAACTGGCCATATGAAACACTGGAAAAGATTATCTATCTATCTATCTATCTATCTATCTATCTATCTATCTATCTATCTATCTATCTATCTATCTATCTATCTATCTATCTATCTATCGTTATAGTTTCAACATTAATTTCTAGTTTGCTGCTATGACGGCATAAAAGATAATGGAGAACAAAACCATGAAGGCAAACCTAAATTTTATTGCAGGAAGCAATATTTATTCTCATTCTTAAGAAGAAAGCAATGCAAAATAAAATATTTGTTTCTTTGAATAAAAAAAGAAGTCAAACAACTGATGATCACTTCCTCTCCAAAGGAAAATCAAAACTCTACTTTAAGCCCTGTCTGTGAATTTACCTTGGATGTTTAATATAATAACTATTTGTACAACTATAATTGAGGGAACAGAAAGATCAAATATTTTATTTTAGAAACACATCAGAGTTGACAGAGCTTATGTGTTAACAACAAAACATATTAAAAGTTTTGTTTTATAATTACTAATTAACGTGATAATAATAAACAAAAAACAGAGACTTCCGGTTTGTCATTGCAGCGCTGCGGACACTGGAAGACGAGCTCCATCTTTTGTATCTGGTTTCGTCCCGCTGGGGGACCCTGGAAAGGGTCAAAAATCGCCCTGTAGGGGCGATGAGCAAGGAGAGGACCCCCACTTGATCGCAGGAGGATGGCGGCCCTTCCGTTGGATCATGGGAAGCCCTCCAAACTGGCAGGGGAAAGACTGGCCTTAGCAATATGGCTTGTCACTAAGCTGCTGACAGCCAAAGTCAAAATCACCACCAAGAACCTTTAAAGCAACGCGGATGAAACTGGGTGAGATCTGATCTTCTCTTTAAAACTTTAAGTATTTTTTCCTGCAAAAGCTGCCCAAAGTATGTTTCCCCCTGTGAGGAGAGAGGGAAGAGAATTTCTATCCCACCCTCTAAGAACTGCCCAGGGGAAACAGAGCAACTATAAGAACAATTTTAATCTAATTGAATGTATATGCTTTTGAAACTTGGGGACTAAAAGTGTTCCTACTCTTACTGGAGACGTTTGTTTTTATCTAAAAAAAAGAAATAAGACTTGAAAACTATCATAAAAACTTTGGACTTAAAAAACTTTAAATAGCATTGGTGATATCTTGTGGCGAAGTATAGTATTGCAACTTGTTATTGCTTAAAAGAGACTTGGCCTGAAGCCCAGACTCCAGGAAAAAACTTCTCTGATATTGACAGCTACCACCTGTGAAAAACTCAGCTTCAAAGAAGGAGCTTTTGGGCAGCATATCTGGCCTGTTTGAATTATGAATGTAAATTTTTACTGACTTTCAGAGCTATTTGATGATTCAAAAGCATTGACATGGAAGGTTAGTTGGCAAAGGAAGAAAGCCAGAGTAAGGCTGAAGAAAATAAGGGTTTTGATTTATTAGAAGGTATTTCATATTACTAATTAGAGGGTTGAATATGGAAAATAGATAATTTTTAGAAAATAAAGCAACATTATAATTGAATAGGTATGATGTGTAACAAGACTAATAGACTTGGGTATGAAAAGGGAAAAAGAGAGAAGTTGAGATAAGGGAAATTTTGGTCACCTAATATAAAATATTTGGAAATCAGTTGAAAATAAGAATTCTGTTTGCCCAATATGAGATAATAGATATTACCCGAAAAAGAGAGGGAGTATTTGAGCTTTTAAAAATTAGACCTAAACCAAAAAAAGTATGTATATTACTGATTTATTGGTTAACCCAGACAATACATAGAGCAGACATGTCAAACTCGCGACGTCACGTGACATTGCGCAATGTATTGGGACTATTTTGCTATTGCCGGCAATGGGGTGGGCGCAGTTTCCATGTGACGCGCCCAGCCCGCGGGCCGGAAGTTTGACATCCCTGTATTAGAGGGTATACTGTATTATTAATTAGATGATTTAATATAGTAGAAAATAGATAACCTTTAGAAAACAGAACGAGACTATATTCAAATAGATAAGATGTGTATTTAGAATATTAGATTTTGTTATGAAATGGAAAAAGGAAGAAGTTGAGATAAGGTTACCTAATGCTTGGAAATTATAAGTACCATTTGAATATTGATAGGAAATTAAAGCTTGGGAAGAAAGCAATAAAAGGACATTGATTGTATATAAGGATTGAATGCAAACACAATTAAGATATGTATAAGCTAAAAATTATTTATAAATGTAACAAAGATGTTTTTATTTAGTTGATAACAATAAGAACTGTATTAGCCTAATATAAGATAGCCTAAGATAATAGATATTAAGGGAAAAATAAAGGAAATATCTGATGTTGTAACTTGAGAGTTATACTAAAGATTTATGTATGTTATTGAACTATTGATTAACCCAGTCACCACGTTGCTTTTTAAATACTTAATTGTAAAATTAGAAAACTAATAAAATATTATTAAAAAAACAATAAACAAAAACAGTAAGAATTATTAAGACTGAATTATTCAGAAAAGAAGGGACCTCCATTTTTAACACTAAAGAAGCAAAAGCAAAAGCAAACCACATAAAATTTCAAAAATAGAAAACTACAATTGCTGAACTATCAAAGCACAATTGCCCGGGGAGGGGGGAGGCTCTGGTGGAGAGCCTGGTGGAGCCAAGCAGCGGCACATCCGGGGCCTCGGAAGCTGCACAGAGGATCTGCGCGCTTCGGAGCCGCCGGCCGCCCTCTCAAACCCACCAACCTGGAGCCCCCCATCCTCATCCCGGCACCACTTGCTCTCTCCCAGCCACCCCCCGGGACCTGCCCACCCCTCCAGCCATCACAGCGGCGGGGTCGCGGGAGCCCCTTTCTATGCTGTGCAGCCCATTGCACGTGACAGGGTTGCGGCCGGATGGCGCTGCTTCTCTCCTCCCGGCCCGGCTGGCTGGCCTCCGACGCACTTGCGGGCATCGCCGCCTCGCCCTCTTCCCCGCCCCCTGGCCGCTCCTGCCCGGCAGTCCCACGGCCGCACCAGGTGCCAGAGGGCCGAGGCAGCCTTCGACGGCGAGGGAAGTGGCTTGGGGGGTGCGGGGGGAGACTCCTGCATGGTGCGGAGGGCGGCCAGGGGCGGAGCGTGGCCGGGCAACCAGGAGGCATGGAGCCTGGCTCGGCGCCGCAGCTCAGCCGGCAGCAGCGGTTTCCTCGCCCTTCTCTCCTTCCTCCTGCTGCCCCCAAAGCGGCTCGGGCGGGAGCCGGGAGGAAGAGGGGTACCTGGGGGAGCAGCCGGGCTGACAGAGGGGCTGACGGGCCGCACGGCACCAGCCCCCACCGCGGCTCCATTGATGGACAGAGGACCAGGCCGGGCACTGCGGGGGCGGCCGCTGCTGCATCATTGGGGGTCCCCGCCACCCCCGTGCTGCCCAGCCTGGTCCTCCGTCCATCAATGGAGCTGCGGTGGGGGCTGGTGCCGTGCGGCCTGCCAGCCCCTCCGCCAGCTCGGCTGCTCCCCCCAGGCACCCCTCTTCCTCCCTGCTCCCACCCGAGCCGCTTTGGGGCAGCAGGAGGAAGAAAAAGAGGAGAAGGGTGAGAAAACTGCTGCCGCCATCCCCGCCGACCCCGCGCTGCCCGGCCTTGCCCTCCACCCATCCGATGGAGCCGCGGTGGGGGCTGGTGCCATGCGGCCCGCCAGCCCCTGATCCAGCCTGGCTGCTCCCCCCCCAGGCACCCCTCTTGCCCCGGCGCTCACCCGAGCCGCCTGGGGGACAGCAGGAGGAAGAAGGGGAGGAGGAAGAAAAGGGCAAGGAAGCCGCCGCCAGCACTGGGCCCCAGGAGGCGGCTCTCCTCTCCTACCTTTGCTGAATCTCCTTCTTCCTTCCTGGCAGCCTGGACTCCGGCGCGCCTTCCTGGCCAGCGGGTCCAATGGTCAAGCTGGCTAGGAATTGCAGCGGCTGGTCTCCCTTGGGCCGTGGCTTGCGGGAGGGCTGGCCCGCTCAGCGGAGCCTCCAGTGGGCCTCTCCCAACAGGGATCCCGGGGCTTCCCCGGGCGGCTCCAAGGCCACGAGGCCCTGGCCGCGCTTCTCCCAGGGGGTGGGGCACCCGGGCGCAGGGCCAATCAGGAGCCCTGCAGGAGGTAAGTCCGCCTGAGAGAGAGAAGGGAAGCAAAAGTGCCTCTCTGTCTCTCTCTCTGCAAATGGTGGAGGAGGCCGTGCGGAGACGGATGCGGAGAGGTGTCTCGGTTCCTAAGACCATTGGAAATATGTGTTTTCCGATGGTCTTAGGCAACCCCTGTGAAACGGTCGTTTGACCCCCAAAAGGTTCGCGACCCACAGGTTGAGAACCGCTGATCTACAGTAATTGGTTTATTTGTTTAAACATTAATGACAACTTTAAAAAATATAACAGTTTTTGAGATATATTTTCCTCCCTTTCCTACATTTTGCTGATTATGATGTGGAAAAGAGGGTAAAAGCAAGTAAAGATATTAAGCCACTCAGACAACTCTTCCATGCAAGCAATTTCACATTTAGTCACCATTCATGCCCTCCCCTTTTCCCCAAGCAATAATTTTAACCTACCTGTTACTTGACAGCTTTTTCCACCCATGGGCAATTAGCATGCAGAATCCCATGCTGGGAACATATAACACTCGTTCTGCTACTACGAAGCCAACAGGGAAAAAAAGGTTTGATGCTGGGATGAATGGCAAAATTATTAAACAAAGAGCCTAAAAGAGCAAAAGAAAAAACATACAGAAACACTAGCTAGTAACCCAAAGCAGAAAAATACTTAAGCATTATATACATCTATAGCATATATGTCTGTGAAAGAGACACTGATTTAATTTTACATATATATATATCCCTATTTTTTTTCCTCTAGAGTTCTGATGAAATTGGTAACTTGTTATTCTATGCACTTACGAAATCTAGATTTCTCTTGTGTTCCTTCAAAGTATGTCTACAAAGCATGTCTTTAAAGCTACTTCTTAAAAGCTATACAAACTCTATTACTTTATAAATCATATACAGATAGTCGACAGTTCATTTAGTGAAAAAGTGACTTATCACCATTTTTCACACTTATGACCATTGCAGCATCCCCATAGTCACATGATCAAAATTAGATGCTTGACAATTGGTTTGTATTTATGACGGTTGCAGTGTCCTGGGGTCACATGATCAGCTTTTGCAACCTTCTGATGAACAAAGTCAATGGAGAATCCAGCTCACTTAACAACTATGTTAGTAACTTAACAAATGCAATGATTCACTTGTGGCAAGAAAAATTGTACAATGGGGCAAAACTCACTTAACAAATGCTTCACTTAGCAATAGAAATTTTGGGTTCAATTGTGGTCATAATTCGAGGACTACCTGTATTCATCTGTGTACATAAACAATTTGTTATGCAGAATAACCAAATCTAATTAAACAGAGCAAAATTTTAGTTCAACTGGATAACTGTAATTAAATAGCAATAGCAATAGCACTCCCAGTCTTTATAAGGTATCTGCCTCAATCTGCTTAAAGGTAGGCAGCTGTCCTTTTGCTTCCACTACTGCACATTTTACGTTAAGTTATATACTGTTCTGAGAAACCAATCAATGTTACAGCAGCATAGAGCATGTGCAGGTTTATAGACTCTGATGCCCAGATAGGTCATACTCAGTATGACCAGTACACTACATACATACATTACACTGGGTAATATCTCCCAATGCCCAGCACCATCAGAGGTCCAAGGCCCTATCACCTATGACTCAGACTGATTTTAAGTTCTGCCTCCTGAAGTAACTCAGGTTCTCAAATGAAGTGTTTAATTTAGCTAAGTAATAATTCATAAGCTTCTTCCTGGACCACAAACTACAAAGCAGGCTTTCCTGGAAAAGGAGTGGACTACTTGTTTTCTCTTCATAGCAAAATACATAGCCAAATGTCTTTGGATGCATCTCTGCCATTTTTTTTTCTTCTTTTTTGGTTCTGCTTCTTTTTTGCTGCTGAGCCAGATCTAAGCTACTCGCTTACAGTAGCAGAGAGTGAAGGCAATTTATTCATAATCCTATTGAGTCATTATTAATTCAACAATCAGTGAGTAAAACAAAGAATGCTGATAAAGCTTTTAGGAAATGAAATTAAAAAGTATGCAAATATCTAGATTTTATAATAATAAAAACACAACAGAAACATTGGCTAAACTCATAATTTATTTACTTAAAGGATTTATGTGGACACCCACCCTAAACAACTCTGGATAACTCACACAACAAGAGGAAGGCTCCCAGAAATCCATTCTTAATGTAGGCAACACTAAATGTCTAACTTTTGGTGGTATATTCCAAATCAAACGTGCTACTTTTTTGATGCAGAATTCAGTTTCTAAAAAAAACCCTTAAAGCATTCATATACTCTTAAATGAAATCTGCTGAAAAGCCAGATGGCCTGGAAAAATAGGATTTTCTAATGATATCCTAATGCTTTTGTGATGCTGAGTGTGTGTGTGTGTGTGTGTGTGTGTGTGTGTGTATGTATGTATAGGTGCGTGTGTATATATAGCCCATATAACCTTTTTATGTAGCAAATAATATTACTTGGGCTCCACTATAACTGTGATCAAGATAAAGCACGAAATTATCCCAAGGACTCCCCTTTCTATTTAATTGTATTTGTTTTCCTGGATTATTGCTAGAATAGTAATGGTTGTTAGAAAATAATCAAGCGACTTCCAGCATTTTTGCTCCTGACAGTTTTCATTTCATTCACAGATCAAGCATTGGATGGGGGTGGGGTGGAGGGGAGAGTCCTTTAATTCAGAATCTATCCATAGTGCTGTTAACTGTGTTGTTTTAACCTTGCAAAAGAGCCCTACTGTCAATAAAGCCCACATTGTATGCATATATTACAAGAGCCTCATAAGCACAGAGGAGCAAAATCTGCAGATACAAAGTTACACTGTGAAATAGAGGCTCCAAGAAATACTTTTAAAAATTCAGCAAAGAAATAGAATATGCAACCCCCATTCTTGATACATCCAACGTTCCTCACAATTTTAACTACTGATAAACAATGTACCAGCTTGATGAAGGCCGACAACATTTTCCTGAGTGCTGAACTACCGCAACTCAAAGTGTTGTAACAATCAAGGACAAAAAACAATGTAGGGATGCAGTGGGAACAATAATTAACTCCATACAGACAAAATTATGTACAATAATTAACTCCATACCTACAAAAAATAATTATTGAATCGTACCCAATGCAAGTATAGCACAATACAACATGCAACAGAACTTAGCTAATTCAAACAAAAGTGGTGATAAATAGGATCTCTATTTTCATATATGCAGCAAAATTGACTTGGGAATATTTCTATCATACTGAATTGGGACTGAATTGTAGCTGCTGAGAGAAAAAATCAAGTCTAAAGAAAATGTGCTTAATGAAGAATAATCTAATTCAGTGTATATTTAAATCTGTCTGTCTATTAGCAAGTAATAGTAATACAAGAGGAGCTCCATCTGTGCCAAGAGTGAGAGCCAAAATACCACAGGTCTCATCACTACCCTAGGCTCACTGTATCTGGGCTGTGTGTTTGAGATGGAGGATCCCCCCAGGTAAGGGAATTGGGAAGCCAGGGTTAGGGAGTTAGACAGGATCATGCCTATGCGTCTTCCCTTAGCCCATTACTCCTGCTGCTCGCTGTGATTTACAGAGAGTTGAGGGAGTTGAAAGAGGGTCAGGAGACACCTACAGGAGCACTTGAAGAAACCAAAAGTGAGCTTGACCAAACACAAACTAAGGTCACTATTAAGATTTATCTCACGATGGCAGGAGCAGAGAAGTGTCAATACTTCTCCACTCTTATTGCATCCACAGAATGCCACCCAGCACCGTTTAGGGATTCCTGGACTCCTCGGAAAGGGGAACCCAAAGGCTCATTTACAGGGCCATGCAGAGGAATTTTCTGTGCACCTGTAGGATAAAATCGCTTGGATTCATTCCCAATTTATTTATTTTATTTATTTATTGTTTATATTTATATCCCGCCCTTCTCCTTGCGGACTCAGGGCGGCTAACAACCAGATAAAAATGCAAATCCCAAAACTACAGATTAAAACATAATTAAAAACAAATATTAATAATTGGTCTGATTAATTTAAAATTACTTTAAAACCCCCATTAAAAATTTTCCCCTAGGCCAGTCCTGCAAGCT